TGTTAAAAACTTTAAACAACTTCTTCTCAACAACCAAAATGCCCAGGGTGATGATATTTTGCAAATAGCATGCTTGGGTAAAGGGCTACCAAGTTTGTTCAAATGAATTACCTTCACCCATTTTCAAGGTCACAGGGGTCAAATATGTTAAAAACTTTAAACAACTTCTTCTCAACAACCAAAATGCCCAGGGTGATGATATTTTGCAAATAGCATGCTTGGGTAAAGGGCTACCAAGTTTGTTCAAATGAATGACCTTCACCTATATTCAAGGTCACAGGGGACAAATATGTTAAAAACTTCAAACAACTTCTTCTGAATAACCAAAATGCACAGGGTTATGATATTTAACCAGTAGCATGCTTGGGTAAAGGGCTATCAAGTTTGTTCAAATGAATGACCTTCACCTATAATCAACGTCACAGGGGTCAAATATGTGAAAAACATAAAACAACTTCTGAATAACAAAAAATGCCCAGGGTGATGATATTTAGTCAGTTGCGTACTAGGATCAAGGGCTACCAAGTTTGTTTAAATGTATGACCTTGAATCATATTCAAAGTCACAAGGAGCAAATATGATCAAAATATTAAAAAAATAAACAACTTGTTCGAATAACCAAAAGGCTTAGGATGTTGATATTTAGTCAGTAGCATGCTGGGATCAAGGACTACTACGTTTGTTAAAGTGACTTATATTCAAGGTCACAGGGGTCAAATTTGTTTAAAATCTTTAATCGACCTCTTCTGAATAACCATGGGTCCCAGGATGTTGATACTTTGCAAGTTGCATCCTGAGATGAAAGGCTATAAAATTTGTTCAACATAATGACTTTGTTCGACTTTCAATCACAGGGGTGAAATGTTTAAAAAAAAAATAACAGGTTCCTTTGAATGAATTTTAATCATAAATACTGATATTTTATTTTGCCTGTCGCTTTATTTTAGATCACTTTTAAGGCTACAAGTGTGAGATTTATACCAGGTGAGCGATGCAGGCCCATTGGGCCTCTTGTTCATGATAAATTTCCTTTGCGACTGTCTTATTTCACACTTAAAATCCTACCGTTACAAACATCCAATCTCTTATACAGTATACAGGTGCAACATATGAAACTCAGTGTTATCACGTCAGAAACGATCTGGTCCAAGCCTTGGAAGGAGAAAAGCAGTTTAGTAAGTTTTTTGTTTGATATGAGAAACAGTTAAATTTCTATCATCATATTCAAACAACACTTCTAATGTTTCTTCAAATGATGTACTATGTTGATTAGATATACAGTTAAATAGTGTTGTTTGTTTAAGTAAAGTCGGAAATTTGGAATTAGACAGAGTCTGTGTTAGCATTATATGCAATCAACTAGTCTATCAACAACGCTTCGGCACTGCTATGGGTAGTCCAGTGTCTCCCATTATGGTCAATTGTTCATGGAACATCTGGTGCAAGAAGCAATAGCCACTGCCCCCATAAAATGCAAGCCTAGCTTATTGAAACGATATGTTTTGTCGACAAACTAAAGATAATCAAGAAGGGGTCACAGAAGGATTTGACCACGCATATCAACACCATAGATGCCACTAACAACATCAAATTTACATGTGAGGAAGAAACCAACAGCACAATGCCCTTCCTAGACTCTCTACTGGTAAAGTGGTCTATAGTAAAAAGATCCATACTGAACTTCAAATATCACCATCCTTTGCACCAGAAATTAGGCGTGATACAATAGTCACAGAACAACAGGACAAAATACAAGAGCAGAATCACATCGCTAGGGCAATGATAACATGTGCATATTCGGAATGGGCCCTAAAACGGGTACAAAAACAGTGTCAAAGCTAAGGGGAAGAACGAGAAAAGGCCTCTCAAGGATAAGAACAATACCAAAGGTCAAGTGGTCATCCCGTATACAAAGGGTATATCCGAAAACATCCAGAGGATATATCGCAGTCATGGCATAGCAACAGCCATGAAACCCCACAAGACGCTTCGCAATATCCTTGTACACCCTAGAGATAAAACACCTAAAGAAAACGTCGCAGAATGCGTATACAAAATAGGATGCAAAAACTGTGACGCATCGTATGTTGGAGAGACTGGAAGGCGATTTGGGGTCCGCTCTGGTGAACACCGGAAAGATACGGAAACCCAAGAAGGTAGGAAATTCACCAGATCAGAAAGGAAGCAGTCGGAGTCCCAGATAAATAAAAATCGGAAATCACAGATCAGGCCACACAGAAAAATCATGTGATTGACTGGGATATCTCCAAAGTTTTAGACACATCTATGACCAAGAATTAAACAAAGCGTAGCTGAATCGAGTCATTTCGGTACATATATAACAACAAGTGTACATACGCTTACAGCGTAGCTGAAACGACATCGATTTTGTGGACAACTCGTACACATTTTACACCTTTGTATGCATACGCTTCACTGGTCATTTCTCTGATGAAGGTGACAGTGTACATATCGTACTAGTCATCGAAACGTCACATAGAAAATGTTTTTGGTTTTGTACAAAGAACTCTTCATAATCCGCTGTGTATTGATTTAAACCGAAAGGTACCCATTAACACGTGTCAATGTATTCATCAGCGATGGTTCAAATACTGGTCTCGTTTTGTCTTTACTCTGGTAAGGGGATGCTGTTTGTACATCAGTTTCCCCCTGGCGAAGCCAAGCTTTTACATCGTGTATACCTGATCATTGTATTGCTAGTTCAATAAATAAGTCCGTCGTTTTTAAAGCCTGGAGAACCCTACAATTTCGAAAATCACTGAGGTGGGTACAGCAAGATTATTCACAGTTGACCCAACAACAGCTGCTGTAGGTTCTGTCACGTGGATATTTGGAACCCTATTTTGAGATTTTCCTCCTGTCAGTGTCCTTTTACACCTGATCCAGAAAATGAAGGCGGAAGATCAGAGGGTACAAACATAGTTCTAACATGACAGTAATATAATACCTCAGACAAACGCAAGCACAACGCAAGCACGCGACACAACATTTCGTGAGCACAGATGTACAGTTTAATCCTACGTCAGAGACTATATTCAATTGGTTACGTCAGGTGTTAACTCCAGAGTGGATATCTCGATTTGAAAAGGGTGCTTCGAAGTCAGCAGCTGAGGCAGAAAATGTTCCAATTTTTCAAATCCTAAACAGCAAGAACCATCATATTTGAAGCTACAGAGATTCTGAGACGTACCAACAAAAAAAGTCATATTTGATATAGCTACAGGGATTCTGAGACAAACAAACAAGAACCGTCATATTTGATATAGCTAGAGGGATTCTGAGACATACCAACAAAAAAGTCATATTTGATATAGCTACAGGGACTCTGAGACAAACAAACAAGAACCTTCATATTTGAACCGACAGGGATTCTGAGACAAAACAACAAGAATCGTCATATTTGATATAGCCACAGAGATTCTGAAACATACCGACAAGAATCGCCAGATTTGATATAGCTACAGGGATTTTGAAACATTTCAACATGAATCGTCCGATTTTATATAGCTTCTGAGATTCTGAAACATACCAACAAGAATCTCAAAACAAAGCATTATATATTTGCCCTTGTAAAGTCTGCCTTGGTCTTGTGTATATCTTTTGGTTGCAAGGCGAAATTTGATAATAAATCTATCAAATAAACCTCTGATTGAATAAATTATAATGTAATCAAATATAGGCTCACTTACTATCTAGCTTTTACAGGGCCAGGCAGGTTAATAATGTAAATGACATTGAGATTAGGCAGAACGTATCCGGTATTAGTATTCTGAGGATGACTTACTGTCTTTGCTAAGAATATTCGGGTTAGATTATATAACCTGAAATGCCAGACAGGATTTGGATATGCATACATACGGACTAAAATCTCCGTCATTCAGTGATAACATAGGCTATCTTAATATATCAATTTTAGTAGGCAAACCAAGACATCCAAACAGAATATGTCCGCTTTACCCACTACATGTTGTAATAGGCGACTAATGTGGGAACCACGTGACACAAAAACGATCAAAATAAAACTGCTGCACATTTCCTAGTTGACAATACCTTGTTTAATGGCCTTGGTGTTTACAAACAGAGGGACGTTATGGGTTATTTCTCCTGACCCAAATCCCTAGAACTTGCTGTTTACAGCTGGGCGTTCAGCTTTGACTGTGCAACAGTAAGGTTTCTCGTATGGTATGACGACTTGAATACTGCGTTGATTTCCTCGGCGCTATCACAAAATGGCAAATACAAAAACGGTCCGCTTCCAGCACTTAATTGTACATTGCAAACACACGGAGGCATATCCATAAGTGGTCTAGCCGTTAATTGGACGCTCAACCCAATTAATCAAACTTAATTTCGGGATTTATGATGGTTATTTAAAATATTGTTTCCTAAGCACTCATATGCAATCATGGAAAACAACACCATTGTATTTCCCTATTTGATATACTTGTCGTTATTCTGGAGCGTTCCAAATAGCTAGGTGTATATTGATAATAATTGACAACAAAACCTAAAGTCGATCTTATTTGGATCATAGACGATTCATTATTATATGTCAAGTCGATATGCAAAAGATTTCGTTGTTATGTAAATCAAAGTCAATTTACCTATAAAGCTTATTTAGTTTGACTTGATAATTATAATAAAAACCAGAACAAGGCAAGATTGCCTATTGTCTTTTTCTAGTGGCGCACCTTTCCGTGATTAGACGATGAAAAACTCATCCTTGATTTCTATTCCGTGCCAAATGTATATAATTATATTCTCCTACGTTAATAAAATATAATCGAGTAATTTGACGTTAATATTGGTAATCCATGATATAGTTTACCATACAAGATGCTACTTTACATCATCTCTGTTTTTGGAAAGAAAATGTAACATTTTACTTCAATAATAACGCTTGATGTTTCTACAAGAGATTGTTAAACGCATATACAGATTATTGTTCAGAAATACACTGACCCCATCAACAATTCATCAGTTAAAACGTTATTGGGTTACACAAAATTCAAGCAGAAAGACACAGAGAGACTTCTTTTGCTGATCATCCGATTAATTTTAATCTTTTGGTTACATCATGACGTAATATATTCAATATCACTAGGGGAGATAATCACGTTACCAGATTTTTAGGTGTAACAACCTTAAATAATTTCCTGTTAAGTGCCAGTTTGAATAAAATAATATACATATTCTCCTGCATAAAATGGATAACCAAAGAGAAGATCAATTTGACAGTGCATTTCTTACTTATGGTTCGAGTGTCGGACGATCCGCCCACATTCACGTCGTTTCGAGGCATCCTGGTTTTCGGCTTTATATCACAATCGTTCAAATCTCAACCACATGTGTTGGCACATTTCAGTTAATTCCTTTTTGGCGCCTCTGTAGGCGGTCCTTTCTATCTGAAGATGGATTATTTATATTAGATGTCTTCGGCTCCAAGCCGACAGAAGGTTTCTGAAGGAGAAGGCCAGTTTACTATCAGCGGTGGAACCCTGTAGTGTCTATATGAGTACTGTTCTTCGTATAGTAAGATTTGTTCTGTAATATGTTTGTGTCCTAAAGGTTCACATTGTCGTCATTATCTATGAACACATCTAATGAACACTTGCTTTTATTGTCCAATGTCTGTATGGGACCATAATGATGTCAAAATTGCGCAACAATACATATTGATTGATACGAATACAAGTATTTAAACATATATCATAACATGTTACCAATGTAAAATTTCTAACGTATACAGATTCGTACACAATTTGTGTACAATTTTGTCATTTGGACGCTGTTTAGTTACTTGGTTTTAATGTTTAACCTTCCTACCGCGTCCCGTTGAATGTTGACTTTGTCAGGTTTTCCCGTTCCGAGCTGTGGCAGTGTGTCAAACTCGAGGTAAAACGTCGGAGCATTTCCTATAATATTGTCACCGAGGCTTTCTGTGCAGTGTGCCCGTACTGCGTCCATATTAACTGCTGTATTTTTATCAAACACAACGCATGCGCATACCTCTTCATACATTCGTGGATCAGGGACTGCAATGACAACAACATCTCTCACACCTGGAAATGATGCGATGCAGTCCTCGACATCCCCTGATACGACTTTCAGAGTCCCCCTTTTGATGACATTGTTGATTTTCCCTTTGATAATGAGTTGGCCGTCACTCTTTATAATCCCCACGTCTCCAGTGTTCATCCAGCCGTTCGCGATTGACTTCCTTTGAGCTTCTGTCGCGTTGCGGTATCCTTTCAACATCCATGGTGATTTTATGAGGAGTACACCCATTTCTCCACGAACAATTGTGTTCAAATCCTCACCTACTACCTTAATTTGAACTCCAGGGAAAAGATTCCCCAAGCATCCAATGGTCATGTTGTTGTCTAGTGGAGAAAAGGTCACTATGCCAACCTCTGTCGATCCATAAAGCATATACATCTGTTCGCAAATTTCTCCTAGTATTTCCGTTTCTTTGTGTCTTATTATTTGACCTCCGGTGACAATCGACATCATTCGATATCCTGTCTTTTTTATTTTTTGTTTGTTCTGCAAGAGATCATATATTGTGAATGGAAGAAGAAGGCCATTGGTACACTTTTCTTCAATGATGATATTCCAGAGATCCATAACATCGCCGCCTTTCACGGTTATTCTTCCATCTCGAAACACTCTTGTGTCTCCTTGTAGGAGACAGTATATTATTGTACCTCCAATCCAGGAGAAAGGTCGATCGTTGAAGTACGTTTCCCCTCTACCACCAACACCACGAGTGAGCATGTAGGCGGATTCCGTATTTACCAGTGCTAAATGAGTAACTTCGACCATCTTGGGTAGTCCTGTTGATCCAGATGTCATGAAAACAATGGCTGGTGTATCGGGAACGATTCCAGGGAGTTGTTTATCAATCTGATATTGATCTAGTCCTCCTATTGTTTCTACATCAGGCAGCATGGATTTATCCTTCTTCCTGAGGAGGACGAAGATTGGTTTGTCCAAACCATGTCCTTCATTTGAAGGATTGTCGCTTACAAATCCCTCGATGTCCTCGACAAACGTAGTGTCACTCTCTAGGTCTAGCAGTACAGCCTTACATTCCGAAAGCTGCAATTGTTCGAGAGTCTTCTGGAATTTCCCATGTGGCTTAGAAAGATGCAAGCAAACTGCGCCAGTCATCAGGATAGCCAACTCGCCCACGATCCATTCGATCGAGTTTGGCCCAATGATTCCTATATTATCGCTGACCTGTATGCTTTTCCCGATCAGGAACCTAGCAACACGCTCTGCCTTGATTTTCAGATCGCTGTATGTTATTGAACGTCTAGAGCCGTCAGCAAATCGTTGGATGCATATTTCCTTCTCTGGAAACTCGCTCGCCTTCTCGTAGAAAACGTCAATCACAGACTTGTACTTGACTGGTTGTAGATGGGGACTGTCGAGGAAGCTTAACTCGGCCATAGCTGTCAAAACTCCTGTGGAAAGATAATGAATATTATCTCAACATCTTCATAAGGATTAAACACTCAAAGACTGGTGGTATAATGATGTCAGATGAGTGTTTCCAATCAATTCTTAATAAGTGTAACAAGTATTTGAAAATCAATACTGATATCAAAAAGGAAATGCGTATGTGTAATACCTGAGAACATGTCATGCATATGTGAAAGTCTCGGAGTAAGAAAATGATGTTATATCAAACATATGTTACTAAGGCTCATACCTTTTACATTCTGTGCCTATTGCATCATCATTTTCTGACGAACGAAGTTGTAAGTAACGTTGTGTAAAAATTATTTATTAAGCAAACATATAGAAATGAAATTAACTTTATTGTCATACAATATTATTCTCGTCATGCATGCAAGACTAGTTAGATAAAACAGCATATGCTATTAGCTACCTCCACACGTCACTATAACACGGCTGTTTTATCTACACCACATGTATACTTAGTATATGATACTAGCTACCTCCACACGTCACTATAACACGGCTGTTTTATCTACACCACGCGTGTACTTAGTATATGATACTAGCTACCTCCACACGTCACTATAACACAGCTGTTTTATCTACACCACGAGTGTACTTAGTATATGATACTAGCTACCTCCACACGACACTATAACACGGCTGTTTTATCTACACCACGAATGTACTTCGTATATGATACCAGTTACCTCCACACGTCACTATAACACGGCTTTTCATTTCAGTAATAAATACCATAACTTTAGTATGCATATACAAAACCTACACCCATCTTTGTAGCCCCAAAACAAAAGATTCAAATATCCCTACCTCCCTACCGTGACGTTACCCATATCTCGACGACAGAGCCACGAAGTGATCTCCCTTCCTTTTCCTTTTATGGCGCCTGCTGCCTGCTGACGCACGGAGCTAGCGTTTTGTCGGTTTGGTTAGAGTGTCAACTCAATTTATTGCGCAGTTTGTGTGCCTTATACCCATCTGCCCTTGTTAATACAATTAATTATTGTTGAAAATTAATTTTGTGCCTGTAACGGCTGGTTATTTTACTCCACGTGTGCCGGTGGTGTGCCACGCGGTCCGCCATTATTGTGGGTTAATTTCCGAGCTCTGTTTATTTCAGTGATGGTTGTTTGTTTCGGCAAACGTTATTTATTTTAACCGTTTTCGGATTTATATTACGGGTGAAATTCTTTCTAGGTTGCGTTTTTTGTACTATCGTATTTTATTATTTTTTCCCGTGGTTGTCTGCTTTCGCTTTGGAGGGTATGTCTCGGTTGGGACAGCGACTGGGGAGAGCTCATGGGTGTTCTTCGGGGAAAGGGACCCTCATGATGCTTGTCCCCAGTGTCGTCCTTGCAGTGAGGTTTCGCCTTGTTAACTTTGTTCACAGACTAAATCTCAGGTCATGGACTTCATTGTTCCAAAGCTACCCTCAACTTACCGTAAGAGAGATTCGTCTGTTTCTTCCGGTAAGCAAGGGAAGCAGAGAGGTAGGGGTCGTGCCACCAGCTCTCTGGGGTCTGGTGGTACTGTCTCTGATCCTGTCTCGGGGGATTTCGCTTCGGCGAGTCCCTCTCGTGAGCAGGGGGTGGCCTTTCCTGTCCAGGAACTCCCTGGAGTAGGGGAGGGGAAGCCCGACCCTGGCTTGGCACAGCCCAGGGTCGAATTGGCCGGGAACGCCCGTAAGCTTTCGCGCTTGCCTTCGGGTAGGGACTACCGACCGCCGGTCACTGACTCTGTCAGTGATCCCGGCATTCCAGGTGGTGCTGTCGTTGGGGACAGTCTTGGTGCCGGGCCAGTTCTTTCGGGTTCAGGTCCTGGTGTGACTACAGACTTTGTTTAGGGATTGTCTGTGTCTACCGGGATTAGTGACGCGCAGCTCACTTACCCTGACACCAATGCTGGTCAGGCTTATCCTCCCGGTCAGCTACCCGGACTCGGTCCTATTAGGTCCTGTCCGGGGTTTCATTCTTCCGGGAACCTTGGGTGGTTTCCCCCAGGTGTTGGGTTTGCTGGACAGGGGGCCGGTTTCCGGACTCCGTTTTCCCCTGACTAAGGGTATACGGGTGCCTACGGGCAACCATCCGTGAGCCGTCCTTACCAGCCTGTGGATGGTTTTGGGTTGCGGCAGCATGCCGGCAGTTACGTACATGTCCGGGTTTCCACTTGGAGGGAGTGGCAAGATGGCCAGCCCCAGTCTCAGGCAGGCCATTTTGGCCAGTTCTTGGGTCACTCCCAACCCGCGGAACCTTTCCCTTATCCTCCGGGATATGGGTTTAACCCCATGGCTTTTCCGTCGTGGAATCCTTTGGGTTTGATCTCTCCCTAGCAGTTCTGTTGACCGCTGAGAAGGATGTACAGGTTGAGGGTGAGCCTGAGGCTGCTGAGGTTGAGGCCCAGCAGGTGTTGTCCGGTATGCGGGGCCTTAGGGCCTACGTTTCCCGGATTCTTGTGGAGGAGGTTTGCCCACCATCGGAGTCATCTGTCCCCGAGTCCACCACCCTTTTGGGTTCTTTGGTGGCTCCTCGGATGTCCGCTTGGTCGGATCGCTCTCTGCCAGAAGGCACTATTGTGTTTTCAGCTCTGGCCACCACCCAGTCTCGGTGTGTCTATATAGGGTATCCGACTTGCCTGAGGGTCGGATCACCGAGACAGAGCAGGCCGACTTCCAGGACAGAGTGACATCTGCCCTGAACGGGGCATTGAGAGCGCTGGCAGCTTTACAGGTGTCATCGCTCGTCAATGTCTTGTTGGCTAGGCGGTTTTCAGTTCTGAAAAACCGCCCAGTCGATGAACCTTACCGTTCCAGACTGTTGACTGCCCCTTCTCAGGGTCCACTCTTTTTGGAGGGGCCCTTCCTCCTGTTCAGAAGGATTTGAAGGAGGACTCAGTCGCCTCTGCACTTCTGGTGAAGAGGATTCAGGCTGAGAAGGCCAGTACCTCGCAGGGGTCAGCGCCTCATAAGAAGAAGGCTAAACCTTTGGCTTCGCAGTCTTCTGCGCAGCCCAAGTATAAGCCTCCCTTCAAGGGCAACAAATGGAAGGGTAATAAGGGTAAGAACCCTCCTGGGGGTAAGAAGAAGGGTTCATGACTCTCTTCTTCCCTTCTTGGTCGTGTCAGGCGACGAGTTTGGCCGAGGGAACTGCAGTCCTCTCGGCTCAAGCTTAGGTCCTTCTCCCACAGGATTAGGCTTCGGGTCAGCAGACGGTTCTCTTGCCTGGCAAGGTCTCGATCTGCCTCGACCAGATCTTCCTGTGGGGGGTCGTCTTTCCGCTTTCCTTCCAGAGTGGAAGGGAATTACGGAAGACGCATGGGCCTTGTATGTGGTCAAGGAGGGGTTAGGCATTCAGCTAGTGCGGGATCCGCCCTTAGCGTCAGAGCCAATCTTTTTTCCTCCACCGGGGGATACGGAAAAAGGCTCTGGCGCTCCAGGAGGAAGGAAGGACCATGCTTACCAAGGGCGCGGTCGAGGAGGTTCCTATGTCGGTATGCAGACCCGGGTTCTACTCCAGAATGTTTCTGGTTCGGAAGAAGTCTGGGGCGTGGCGTCCCATCATAGATCTAAGTGCCCTCAACAAGCACGTAGTAGATTCTCCTCACTTCAAGATGGAGACTCCTCGGGGTATTATCGCCTCCGTGAGAGAGGGAATGTGGGCGACTTCAGTAGATCTGAAGGACGCCTACTTCCACATCCCCATCAAGAAGTCGGCACGGAAGTACCTCCGTTTTACTTGCAACGGAAAGGTCTTCCAGTTCCGGGCCATGTCGTTCGGGCTCACGACTGCACCTTTGGTTTTCACCAAGCTGCTGCAGGTGGTTGTGGGATTCCCGCACTCTCGAGGAATAGATGTTCACATCTATTTCGACGATTCCCTCATGCTCCACCTAGTGAGAGAGTCTCTGGTGCATGTCACCCGGTTGGTTCTGAAAGTCTTACTCAAGGTCGGCTTCATTCCTTCCAGAGAAAAGTCGGAGGTTTCCCCATCTCAGGATTTTGTTTTTCTTGGGAACCGTTTCAATACGGTTCAGGGCATCGCCCTTCCACCGATGGAGAAGTTCGAGAAGGCCAGGGCTTTTGCTCTGACCTTCATCGGCCGGTCTCAAGTCCAGGTACGTTGATTTCTCAGTTTTCTGGGATATCCCAACGCCCTTTCTCCTTTTCCCGTTTCTCCTTGCCAACTAGGTCCCTTCTTCAACGGATTGGGAAGCCTGGCCTGGCTTCCTCTGAACCAGTCGGTCAAGGAGTTTGCACGCTGGTGGACTCATCAGGACAATGTTCTCCGAGGTGTTCCTTTGTCCATGCCGGTTCCTACTATGACCCTGTACAAGGATGCATCCATGACAGGGTGGGGAGCTTACCTCGACGGGCATTGCCGGTCGGGGGAGTGGTCTGGGGAACAGGTCTCGGAGCACATCAATGTGCTCGAGATGAGGGCTGTTCTGTTGGCTCTGCAGTCTCTTCGGGAGATCCCGCATTCCAAGGTGGTTTGTGTGGCTACGGACAACACTACAGTTGCCGCGTATCTGGAGAGACAGGGGGGATCAAGGTCTCTCACCCTGTGTGCCCTCGCTATCCGCATTCTTCTTCTTTGTCAGGAAATGCAGTTGACAATTTATGTCAAGCATCTACCAGGCAGGTTAAATGTTCTGGCGGATCCTCTTTCCAGGCGCCGCCAGCCGGTTTTGACAGAGTGGCAACTGGATCCCTCGATTTTCGAGGGAATTTGTCAGGTGTGGGACAGGCCTCACATAGACCTGTTCGCCACTTCACTGAACAATCAGTTGCCAACGTTTGTCTCTCCGGTTCCAGATCCAAGGGCTTGGGCCATGGACGCTCTGTGTCTTGATTGGGAGGGAATGCATGCATATGCATTCCCGCCCTTCAACCTGATGAAGGGGCCTGCAGAAGTTTCGGGAGCATCAGTGTCTCTCCTCCTGATAGCGCCCCTGTGGCGGAGGCAGCCTTGGTTTCCGGAGCTTT